GGTTGCTGTTTGGATTACATGTTCCATTATAACTTTAACATTGAATTGCAAACTTCCAACGTCTCTTTTACTTTCTACTTTTGTAAGTCCAATATTCTTGTGATTTTATGTGGTTGAGAAAAAAACAAACACAGTTTTAATTGAGAACTAAACATCCAAACATCGAACCGATTCGTATCATCTATATGTCAAACTCTGCTCTAAAGGTACAGCTTGGCAGGGAAAGAAAAAGATAAAAGAAACGAAAAAAAAAAAGAAAAAGGTTATTGTGTTTTTTCATAGATTGTCTCAAGTGTAATAAATAGGCATGTTTGAATACAGTCAGTCACAGTTCAAACTTATTTGAGATTTGGAGTATTCTTTAACTGCAATGTATTTTAAATCTTATGGCCTATCTGGTTTAGTTTTTTTTTTTAATATATATTTTCTTTTTAACTAAAAAAAAGGAGAGCAATACATTATTAAGCTTGGTGACTGTTTTTTTGCGGATAATTTTTTAAAACTTGAGAGAAAAAAGAAGAAGAAGTAATGATAGATATCAAACAAACGTGTTCTTTTTTAATCATTTTTTAACTTGTATTATATTTTTACTCTATTGTACAAATGTGTCATCTTAATTTTAGTTTATCTTCACTTCATATTAAATTGGCATATCTGTTACTTATTTGGATATCTGTTACTTATGTTAATTTTGTAATTACACCAACGCAATTATTAAGGGACTGCTCTACCACTGAGTTAATGGCCAATCATGCGAGTCACCCACGAACTCGCTATGCTAAAAGCCAGAGAAATCTCATTTATCTCTTTCTCTTTTTTTGCCCATGTGTGTCGGCACCCAGAGGACACGTGATGAAAAAAAAAAAAAAAAAAAAAAAAAAAAATCCTATCAACTTATTTTCAAACAATAAGCTCATGAGAGATAGGTTTTATATATTATATAAAAGATGGACAATCAAATCTATTCTATTTCTCAATTCAATAAAAGTCCTAGGTAAATAAGGTCTTGTGGTGTGTCAATATGTATGTCTATTAAGGCCTAATATATCAAAGGGTCTTTGTTTAATGGTATAATTTCTTTATCTTCAAAAAGGAATGGAGGGATTCGAACCCACGCGTAGGCAAAAAAGTGTGTGAATATTTGCTTTATGAGGTGATAATTTATCAAAAACCTTATAACATAGTGATATCTACTGAACCTTTTAATCATTTGGGTTTGAGTCTTTTTTACCAATGTAAATATATATATATATATATATATATATATGTATATATATATATTGAGAATTTAATATATGATCCTTTGGACCAATTTTTTGTTTCTGCAAGTTGTAAAAACAGTGCAAATTCATAAGGATCAGACTCAAAATTTTTGGGTTGGGTTCAGGTTGGGCCGGGTTGGCCCATTCAAGTTGCACCCTTTGGCTCAGTTTGGTAGAGTGGGTTTGAAGGGAAAGGGAAGGGAAGGTGATGGAGAGTTATAAAAAAATTGTGTTTGGGTAAAATGAGTAAAGGGAAAGGGAAGGAGAGGGAAGGGTTTGGAGGGTTATTTATAACAATGTACAGTAATTTCTTTAACCTTCCAAAAATGGAAAGATAAGGAAGGAAAGGGAAGGCAATGGTAGGCAATGGCTCATATAATATTTGTCATGCCAATTTTACCCTCAAAATTGCACTTGATATTAGGGCATGTATTCAGCGCGGGAACAAATGAAAGCATGTATTCAGCGCAGTAACAAAGGCTCCAAAATTCACTGCTATAAGAAGAAATAGGAGAGAGAAAAGGGGGAAGTGGGTTTACGTATGGGAGAGAGAGAAGGGGAAGTAGGTTCACATTGTGGTCTCGGTGCCGGAGGAGGAAGTATATAGGAGAGAGAGAAGGGAAAGATTTGTAACGGTTAAATTAATTAAAAAATCTAGGGTTTACAAACAGCGCTTTTGGAGCTACACAAGCCTTTCGAAAATTCATCTGATTTCATCATCTTCTTGGAGTATTCGATCTCGAGGTGTGTTTCTTCAATCGATCTAAGTTTTCCTCTTTTATTATTATTATTTTTTCCTTAAGATTTGTCAGCATATAGTTGGAGATTTAATGTTATATTCTACGGAAAAAATTCATGCGATTATCTTTAATTATGTCGATGGTTTTCTTGTGAACTCTGTAATTTTGTGGATTTCTCTCTTTTATCTTTTTGTTATAGTTAATGTGAATTTAGAAAGGGAAAAAAAACACACACTTGATCTTCATTCTAGTAGCTAAAATTGGTATTCTAGTAGTTAAAATTGGTTCCCAGAACAATTTTTCTTGAAAGGAGCCGCCTCCCATTTTTGGGAGCCTGCTCTACTCATATTCGAGCCTCTCTACTGTAAAGCCTCTCCATTCATATTGGAGCCTCCTCCTCTTTTTATAAGATTTGAATTACTTGAGCCGGCTCCTCTTGGGACAAAAATGTTGTTGCATATTTAAATCTCAAAATTTATCTTTTAAAATATAAAAAGGACATGATAGTAAATTTATTATTATTCTTCCCTTTCCTTTCTCTTCTCAAACATGATTGTTATCCGTCCCTTTCTTTTCCTTCATTAATCAACCAAACACGATTGAGGATTAAACTAATCCTTCCCTTCCCTTTTCCTCATAACTAATATTAACCTCCCTTTCAAACCTATCCTACCAAACATAGCCTTAATGGTAAGAGAGTGACTTCCCGAGACAGTTCATGTATAATATCATTCGCACTCCTCTTTTTTTTAAATTCAATTGGAATAGATATTATTATCTATCCAAAGATGAAAGCCCCTATGCCTTTTAATTTATTTCAATATGGCCCACACCCAATAGTCCTACACCAATCATATTCTCCTCCATACACAAGGGTGGGAAATGATTTTATTTGTCGCTCAATATATAACTATAGTAGTCCAAATAACCAAAAGAATACAACATATTTCAAAACAACTAAAACAGTTTTTTTCATCGAGTTAAAAAGAAAATGAAAAAAGCGTGGACTAGTGTGACGTTGGACGCTACGAGTTTTAAAATAGTGTAATAGATGTAGAAGTGTATAGATGTGTAATGTAAAAATATTTATGCAAGATAACTGAATGTTGGAGAGATCTAAATGGATAATCTTTATCGTTTGTGAGATTACACCTTATCCGTTGGATTGTGTTATTCATCATCGTTCGTGAGATTGCATCTTATCCATTGGGGATGGTGTGATATCTATTTATAGGGAGTGAGTTCATTTATAAGAGGCAAACTACAAACACAAAACAAAAAAACACACTCTCAATGTGGAGCAAGCAACCAAGGTGAGTATGAAACAAATTTACAAAGTGTATAGATGTGTAGTATATAAATACTCGTGTAAGAGAACTTCTTAGCCATTAGGGAATGTGTCTATTTATAGGGGATTAGTATATTTACCTATTAGAGAAGTGAATGTTTTGTGGGATTACATCTTAGCCATTAGGGATTGTGTGATGTCGATTTATAGGGGCAAGTTCATTTATAAGAGGCAAGCTCCAAAAGTAAAATAATCCCAATGCGGAGTAAGCAGCACTGAGTATGCAACAAATTTACAAATGTACAAAAGAAATACGAACGAATTTTTAAATAAATAAAAAATATTTTGTTCCCTTTAAATTTCTTATTTTCGCTAAACTTATAACTTCTATTAAAATCATTACCAAAAATCATTACCGAAAAAGGTAAAAAAATAAAATAAAATATTCGTAGTAAATAGCAGCTATGTTCCACTAAGGAAAGATAATAATAATAAATAATTAAATAAATAATTGCAACATAGTTATAAACTCTAGTTAAAAACTCCCAAACTGCATCCTTTCAAATAATCTCTGAAGATAGTTAATTTATAAACTTGTTCACATTAATAAACAAGTATCCCAGCTTATCCGTTGTATCATAGTTGTTTTCAAAATTTAAAAATTTGTTTTAAAAAATCCAATACTTTTTCAAAATATCACAAGGATAAGTATCTTCCTAAGTTTATAAGGATACGGTATAGTACACGTCTCACACATGGTTTATGAGGATAAGGATAAACTGGTGTTCTTAATTGTTGAGTCAATAGCTTGTTAGAAAGCAAATCTCAGCCTAACAATGGAGGAAATATATACCACATTTTAAAACTCACTATGTCTTATCCAAATGATGTTTTTATTGGGTTAGATCTCACTCAAAAGAAGTTACCCCCGAGGAACAAAAACTTATCCAATTCTTTTTTTTTTTTTTTTTTTTTTGTTAAAAAATCTCATCCAAAAGATGTTGCAACCAAAGAAGGAAAAAAAAATCATAATAGTTAAAAAAAAAAAAGGAAAATAGAAGCATATGATTTTTGTAGTGAGTATAAAATTTGAAAAAAAAAAAGAAAGAAAAAATTTGGAAGGGTGGTACATCAAAATTTAATGAGTTAGTTTTGTTATTTTTAAAGTTTTTAAAAAAGTTTTTTTTTTTTTCATAATTTTTTAAAAAAAGTTTTGTTATCCTAAAAAAAATGAGAAGAAATTAATAAAGAAAACTAATATTTTTAACCAAACTTTATTTATGATACCAAATTTGTCTTTATTTTTATAAAATAAAAATTTATGAAAAATGGTATGAAAGTAGGTTTATTTTTTTTTTTTCTCATTTCTCTAGAGACAAAGTATATCTTTTTTATTTTCTTTTTCATCTAACCATGTTCATTAACATAACTACCTTTTCTTTTCTACAGGAATTTGAACCCTCCCAATTTTTATATTAAAAAGTGATAGAATATCGTTAAATTACAAGTACAAAATGAAAATGAATTAGTTTAAAATTTAAATTCATTTATTTTAAATTTCAGTTCCAAACTAGCAGATGTTATTGCATGATCCACTCGCATTAGTTATACAGCTTTTAGGCCCTAAATTTACAATAATGCCCCACCACAATACAACAAGCTCAGATGGTCTATCAGACTCTCTCTCCATCACTGCTGAAGTCACATCACATGCATCATAAGTTATTAGGACTGAACAATTTCTGATTACCACGGCTCTTCTCAGTTCAAGACCCAAAACCCTAAAATATCCCTTCCCTTAAACCCCACCTACCACCACCGTCTCCGCCGCCATGCAGACCTCCTTAATCTCCCCACCACCAGGCACCACCACCACGACCGTCACAAGCACCACCAACACCGTCAAAACCCTTTTTCCCTCACATATCCCACTCCATTCTAGACGCCACACCTTCTCCCTCCGCGCCGCCTCCCCTTCAACAGAAACAGTGCCGCCGCCACCGCAGACCGTCACCGTTTCTGACCCATCTCACAAGCTCAACAAGTACAGCTCTCGCATCACCGAACCCAAGTCCCAGGGCGGTTCTCAGGCCATCTTGTACGGCGTTGGCCTCTCTGACGAAGACATGAGCAAGCCCCAGATAGGCATTTCGTCAGTTTGGTATGAGGGGAACACTTGTAACATGCATTTGTTAGGGCTAGCTGAGGCTGTGAAGGAAGGGGTTAGAGAGGCTGGCATGGTTGGGTTCAGGTTCAACACAATTGGGGTCAGTGATGCCATATCAATGGGGACTAGAGGAATGTGCTTTAGTCTTCAATCAAGGGACTTGATTGCTGATAGTATTGAGACTGTCATGTCTGCTCAGTGGTATGATGGAAATATTTCTATCCCTGGCTGTGACAAAAATGTAAGCTTTATATTATGCTGAATTTTATTTTACCATCAACATATTTTGTAATTAGTAGTGGCAAAATTTTTAAATTTTGTAGTCTGATTGTGATTTTGTTTATTTTTGTTTATACCTTATAGTTTTTGGGATTTTTGAGAAAAAATTTAAGCCATTCTGTTATAATTTAGATCTTATTTAAAGGGGTATATCATATATATATATGTGTGTCACAAAAATGTAAGTTCTTGGGTTCTTCATTGATTTTTCTATTGTGCAACTTTGTGGTGGTGGCAAGAAAGTAAGCTCTTGGCAATATGTTTGCGCTTTCTTCTATTCTAGATATTTATGATTTTCTTCACTAATACGAGTAGTCAATTTGACCGCATAACTAATAATTATGAATCTCTCATGTCCTTCTCCATCTCCTTTAAATTGACTCATACAATGTGGTTCTTGTTGAATGCGCTTAAAGTATTTATTTGCGTAATGGTAACTTCCAGCAGAAACCAGCATCAGCCTTTCAATGCAATGTTGCCTTTCTACCCGAAATCAAATGATGTAGTTAGGCTCATTTTTATTCCTAGCCAGCAATTGGCGCATTTCTAGTTTTCAACAGCTTGGATGTGCTTCAAGGGAGCATCTGGCAGAGCCTGATGCCAGAGCGGGTCACTGCTTGCTAGTTATGTCGGCCTCAGCTTGGCCTTCTGTGGGAACTCGTGTGTTCACAAAGGTTTTCTCGGTTGTTTTGGCTTTCTGTGGGAACTTGTGGTTTCACAAGGGTTTTCTCAGTTCTTCAATTTATTGTCTACCTATGCTATTGCTATTTTTCCTTGTCTGTGTATGCAGAACTATTACGAGCCTTCTTCATAGCAGTAAAATTGTAGGCCTACCTTCAATTTCCACCTTTATTGCTACTTACAGCACGCATGGTAGATTATAGTCACTTTGTAGCAAGGATTACAATAACTGTTAATTAATGCATTATGTTAAAAAAAAAAATTATATATTTTTTTACTATTTAAAAAAAATAAATTTAATGCCCTTGGATTATGATTTATTATTGATTTGTATTGAGAAGACACTTTTGCTTTCACTACAATTTTATATCAATAACTATTGTCACTACAAATTTTAAACCAACCACACCCCCCCCTTCTTTCCCTCCCTCCCTCTCGCTGTGTCTCACACACACACGGTTGCTCGATAACATTTTGCTTCTGAAAATTTGATTTTATTGTTCAACAGTCAATAGTTGTTGAGTTGCACTCCTGTTTTGAATACGATGTTACTAATTTTTGCAGATGCCGGGTACTATCATGGCAATGGGACGGCTGAACCGGCCAAGTATCATGATTTATGGTGGAACTATCAAGGTTACTCACCTATAGATTTTGTTACTGAATGTGCTTTATTGAATTTACTTCTTTATTCTTTTATATTGACATCAGACCTCTCACACACACACCCCTGCTATTCTGTTGAGAAAAGGATTTTTCATACTGGGTTGTGTCCATGTTAAATTTAGTTGAAGAACCTAAAAGTCATTGCTAAGAAATTTTAGAACTCATTTAGAAAGAAAAATGTGGTTATTTCTTTTATCATGTAATCTTCTCTGAAGGTGAAGAAATTGAGAATGTTATGCCAAACAGATGGCTTGAATTTTTGTCAGTCTTTGGCCTTTGTAAGGGCAATAGTTTAGAGTTTCAAATAAACATACATATAATTATAAGATCATATCATAATGAAAGAATTTTTATCTAGCCGATTATGGTTCTGTATCTTGGGATCTTCTGTTGTGGTAAATTAAGAAATGAAAAAGCACAAAGATGTAAAAAGACAATCATACACAAAGCAAAACTTCAATTTATGCGGTTTGGCTTAAAGCATACATACACTAGCCAAGACATTCAAGAAATTTCATTATTGAGATCACAAGTTGATGACTAACAAATTCCCTGCCTCTGAACGAATTTAGTTCTCTCACTCAAAACCCAAATAATGCATATAACAGGACTAAATACATGAATATCGATTTATAACTCCAAACTCCAAATGAAGTCTGAAAATTTGGTTAAAGAAAAGGGGCCGTGCCACCAAAAAAGGCTCTGGCCTAGCATCCCTTTTGGGGGCCATGCGCGGCATGCGCCTGGATCACATTTAACTTCATGAGGACCCACAAATTGTGAGGTAGCACATAGACTACACCAGAGAGATAGAATTCAAGAAATCATCGAGACAACTAGGGGGAAAAGAAAAAGAAATCATCAAGGCAAATTCATTACTTCATTTCACAGATCTTTTGTGCTCCTTTGGCATCTTTAAACAAAGTTTTACTTGCCAAAGAAAAAGAATGAAATATTGGAGTGGCTAGGAATATATAGCCTAGCACAGATAGGGGAGACACGAACAAATTGCTCTTACTGATTTTGTTGTTGATTTGGCAGGCTCGTTGCTTACGAAAATGATGACAATTATGTCATTCTTTTAACTGCAATTATGTGCAGTCAAAATGTTAGAAAAAAGGTAATCTGATAGAAAATACAATGCTATCATCTAGCCTAAAAGGCACATGCATCAATCAGATCACATATTACTCAAGAAACTGATTGCAACGTCTTAATATACCTTGCTTATGTTACTATACCACATTTCTTTCTTTGCCATTCTATTTTGTTCCAGTGACTATAGTCAAACATAATCTAGTCTGTAATCGTGTTAAAGAAGTTATAGTGTCAGAAAAACCCGAAGGAATCCAATCCAAAGGGAGATATCTTTTGTAAAATATTCAATTCATAATCACTGGCTACGTTTTGAAATCTGTTTGCTTGGGGGAAACTTGATGCAAAAAATGGAATCTTCTGATGGGTCTTTTGTTTCCATGTAAACTGTGAAACTTCAAAACTGGAACTAGGTTATGGGATTTCAAGGAGGTTCATGGATCCAACAGTATGTGTGCACCATGTAATTCATTGTCCTTCAGCAGATTTTATTTGATGAAGATAATGTTGCTCATCAATTCTTCATTTTAATTGTCTCATTTGCAGCCTGGTCATTTTCAAGGCCATACATTCGACATAATATCTGCCTTTCAGGTATGTTTCCTGTTTCAATATACCCATACTGCCATGTGTATACGCATGCATTAAATTGCATATGTTTATTTTATTTTCTTCTTGTGTCTTATTGCCTCTTAAAGATGGTTGAATGTGATAGGTGAAGAAAATTACTGCCCTATAGGGATGCTTCATTCCTTTCTTTCTTGTGGTATCTGGATTTGATGTAGTTCTGTTTGGTGGTTAATTTATCAAAGGTTGCTCTTTTAAGTGACTGGTTTGATTATTGGAGGGTTTGGTGATACCTCATGGTGTTGTTTTATTTTGTGAATTGTACCATTAGGGTTTTCTATTTGTTTGCAAGACCGTAATCTTGTATACATACATACATACATACATATATATGTATGTATGTATGTATGTATACAAGATTACGGTCTTGCAAACAAATAGAAAACCCTAATGTGTGTGTGTATATATATATATATACATACATACATATATATATATGTATGTATGTATACAAGATTACGGTCTTGCAAACAAATAGAAAACCCTAATGTGTGTGTGTATATATATATGATGGGAAATGGCTTTATAAAGATATTGATGAAAATCAAAGGAAAATACAGGAGATCCTTCAGCCGAAGGAAACTAAAACTACAAGAAACTGAAAACAATAATATATAAGAATATAATTCTTGACAAACTAATAACAATTTACAATCATCAAGGAGGACGTAGATGCCCTTTAGATGACTGCACAGTGACTGCCCCTCCAAGGAATAGAATTAATGACTGCCTGGATAGAAAGACACAATTCCATGATCTCTCTTATAAGAAATATTGAAACTCAAAATGCCTCTCCTAGGCTTTCTAGAAGAGAGAATTTTCACTTAACCTATTCCGAACAGTTTGAAGAATATGAGGGCCATGGGGTTTATTTATTTGTGTGTTTGTGTATATATACCTTCAATGTGAATTTGCCTTTGGATTTCCAGGAGAGGTGTTCATTAAGACTAAAGTTATCAGAATTTGACTGCTGGTTGGATTAGTGGACCAGCAAGACCATAGCCAGTCCGGTGAATTGGTAGGGCTACTTTGCCTGGCTTAGTTAAAAATGCATATTATTCATCAAAAAAGTATTAGAAGATTTCTCCAAGAAGAGTTGAACGACCTTAACATCATATTGAGCACTCCAACTTCTAGTTCACTGTCAGTGGTTTGTTAACGGATGCTCCTTCGAATATCTTCTTATGTACAAACTATTGATCACGCATGTAGCCCGGCAGAACTGAGTGATCTAATCATCAACAGTTGAATTAGTGCAGTGGTCACATGTTTCCATCTCTTATAACTATGATTCAGAATGCTTATGATAAGGTCATGAAGAAGATTAAAATGGGAAGGTTTTCCTTGTCAGCATTGGTATATTTGAACTGTCGTTCTTGAACGGCTCAGAGCATACAATATAGCAAATAAAATTTATGAGTTAAGTTTTCAGTCTTTCTGTAGTGGGACATCACAGATAATGGAAGAATGTATTTTATTAAATGTTTGCTTTTATTAAGAAGCAGTTAAGGATAATGAATAGACTCACCTAAGTGCTTTGTGTTCAAATTAATGTGAATGCCAACAAGAAACCACTCTACTTGTTTCAAATCCTGTATAAAAAAGTAGATTCATATAGTTTGTGTGGGAAGCCTAAGTTTTCCTTGTTAGTATATGGGTAAATTAGACTGACCTCCCTCCTTGATTGCCAAATTACATTGACCTCCCTCCTTGATTGCCAAATTACATTGACCTCCCTTTAAGTTTGTATCTTGATAACATGGACCACCCCTCCATTAATAGCAGTTAGTGGTCATCGCGGTAATTGCTGATGTAAGCAGCTTTTTTGTTTTTAAGTTCCTAAAATGCCCTTTTAGTTGATGTTTTGACAAAGTAATTAACCTCACTTGCTCAAACAAAATTACTGAAACACACTCCAAACTTGCCATTCCCTTCTTCCCAAAGCTCTTGGGGTCTCTTCAACAGGTCTCTGCAACCAAAATATTCTTAGCTCTCTATGTTGAATTGTCAATCTGCAATGGAGCAACTAAGCACATTCAACTTTGGTTGTTTTCTTCATCGTCACACTCTTCTCTATTGCTGTGTCGGCTCAAGATTTGGGTATGGCACCAGCGATGGATGCTGGAGCGAGGTGCTCACTACTGATCCCTGGAGCAATTATGTGCATGTCTCTGCCTACACTTATGGAGTTTTAGATGTCTATGATTGTTGATATATGTATGTGTGTGAGAGAGAGTGAGAGAGAGAGGCAATTGGTTAGGATTTTCTGATGTATTATATTTGTTTTACAGAGTTGAATAAAGCTTATTCTTATAGCTTGCAAATTTGTGTGAGATCTAATATTTTCTTATCAATTAGTTCTTGTTTACATTATTAAAATAAATATAATAATGACATACAGTAATGGATGAAGGATGGGCATGTGGGTTTATAACAGATACGGTAATCTGTAATCTGATTTTGAGAATGGAGGTGAAGGATGGGCATGGGGTTTTCTAACAGTATAGATTTGACAGATGGGTAATAAAATAAAAATAAATGTAATGAGGACAGAATCATAATTTTACTCTTTCTGTTAACGCCACCCATCATATATATGTTTGATAGGGGAGGCTAATGTAATTTGGAAACCAAGAGGGGAGGTTTGTGTATATTGACGATATTTCAGGGGTTGTCAGTGTAATTTACACTTAGTATATTGGAGGCTGCGGCTTTTGTCCAATCTCCATTTGAATAAACATATTAGGGCTGTAGCAGGAAATTCTTTTGCATACATTTGTTGTGATGAGAACTTGTTTCGTTGAGGACCCCGGTTTCACTATGGTAGACTTTGACTGATTTTCAGCTATCAACTATGAAAGAACGATTAATCAACTATGAAAGAACATTTTATTTCTTTGACTAATGTTAGTTATGTTATAGGTTTATGGAGAGTATGTAGGCGGTTCTATTACTGATGAACAGAGGATGAATGTAGTTCGTAATTCCTGTCCTGGAGCAGGGGCTTGTGGTGGAATGTATACAGCAAATACCATGGCTTCTGCTATTGAGGCAATGGGAATGTCACTTCCTTACAGGTGAAAAAATGTGCTTAAATACTCGTTTGGATTGGCATTTATTGTGTCCTCTACTTATTATTATTTTTGCTTTGGTCCCGAAAAGCTCTTCGACACCTGCTGAAGACCCTTTGAAGTTGGATGAGTGCCGCTTAGCTGGAAAATATCTTCTAGAGTTGATAAAGTTGGACTTGAAACCACGAGATATCATTACTCCAAAATCACTACGTAATGCAATGGTTATTGTCATGGCACTGGGCGGATCCACCAATGCTGTCTTACATTTAATTGCTATTGCAAGGTGAGGAGTGCCTTGTGCTGAATATCTAATTCCATTATTACATATAATGGATTGGCTTATTGTTGGATCCTTGGCAGGTCTGTTGGTTTGGATTTAACACTTGATGATTTTCAAAAGGTTAGCGATGAGGTTCCATTCCTTGCAGATCTTAAGCCTAGTGGCAAGTATGTCATGGAGGATGTACACAAGGTGTGCACAAAGCTATTTTTTTCCAGTAGAGTATCTCGTGCTTTTTAGGTTTTTGTGACTCTTTGCATGGTATTGCTTGGAATTCATGATGTTTTTCTCTAAGCTTTTAGATGAGGTGTTTATTGCCATGTTTGCTACTTTTCTTGATAATCTTTCTAACAATTACTGATACAGATTGGAGGAACACCTGCAATCATTCGCTATCTCTTGGAGCTTGGATTCTTAGATGGGGATTGCATGACTGGTATGCATATTGGAATTCATGAAACAATTTATAGCTAAATTGCAACTGGTAGGTTGTTTGTAATGTTTTTAATATTTACATAAACTACATTGCCGTTCCACAGTCACGGGGAAGACACTAGCTGATAATGCAAAGCTATTCCCTTCTTTGGCTGAAGGTCAGGTATGATGGCTTCCTTTTTGCCCTTCTACCTCCTTTGTAGCTGTTGATAAATAATTCATATAATTTGAGATAAATGATTTATCTCTTTCACTCTCTTCTAGCAAATAATAAGACCGTTGACAAATCCCATCAAGCAAACTGGGCACATCCAAATATTATATGGCAATCTTGCACCAGAAGGTTCCGTAGCAAAAATTACAGGAAAAGAAGGGCTATACTTCTCTGGTGCTGTGTTCCATTCCACATTTTTTATTATTATGATTTTCTTCTTGTTACCTGCTTGCCATTGTTTTGTTTTTTTGTTTTTCCTATCATTGTTGTTTTGAGTATCTTCTGTGCAGAAGAGCTATTGATTGTAAACTATTGTTCACCAGGTCCTGCTCTTGTCTTTGAAGGAGAGGAATCTATGATAGCAGCTATCACGGAAGATCCTACGACTTTTAAGGTATGTCCCCCTCCTGCGAATTGGTTTTGGTTCCTGTATAGTGTAATTTTTCTTTTTTTCCATGAGAATTACCTTCTAGTTTCATACTATATCAAGTGAATATCATTTTTTTTAAATATTTTTTATAAGTGTAAATTAGGTGAATATTATTGTTCTTGGGCTCAATAGAGTACGCGTTTTTCTTTTTACATTTTTCAGTAATAAAATTTTGTAGTAGAGCTTATGTTCAAAATGGGATATCTTTTCCTTTTCTTGGTCTGGAATGGGATTTATAGATCTGGAATTTTTCTTATTAATTATCATATTCCAGGGAAAGGTAGTTGTTATTAGAGGAGAGGGACCTAAGGGGGGTCCGGGCATGGCTGAAATGCTGACACCAACAAGTGCAATAATGGGAGCAGGTCTTGGGAAGGTATAATGATGTTCAATCTATGTGAGTTTGTGATAATTATTATTTCTTAATTGTACTGACTTGTCCAAACATTGTTTCTCTTTGGCATCTGGGTTGTAGCTTGATCTCTTAATAAATGCTTGTTTTTTGTGATCATATGAAGGTAGTTCCGCCCATCCCTGCCACATGGAACGATTTATTTTTCACCCTTTTTGGGTAATTGGTGTTCTGTTTTGGGGAGCAGAATGCGGGGAGAGTGTGAACTTTGGAGTTAATAAACACCTGCATGTGTGATCCTTAATAGACATGACTTCCTTTAACACTTGAATATTTTTTCTGTTATAAGATGATCTTTGTGAATGCACTTTCTGTTAATGCTTTCTCAGTACATGTTTCATCGACCTAACTTGACACTGCTGATGTCCTTTTCTTTCGTACATTACTTTGGATATCACTTTTGAATAATGCAGAATGTTGCATTGTTGACTGATGGAAGATTCTCAGGAGGTTCACACGGATATGTTGTTGGCCACGTATGCCCTGAAGCACAGGTATTTTTTTTCTTAATCATCTAGTTTGAATTGAATTTTACTGAAAAAAAAACTATTTCTTTCTTACATCTCTTAATGTTTACACATTCCTCTTCATAATGTAATTTGTTATCTCCTATTTGTTAGTCACTTGATCATTAAATAAGTAGGCTTTCTTGAGACAAATTGGGCAAATGAATATGGTATTTTTAAGCTAATAACGCATAAGGGTGCACAGGGAAAGGCCTCGATGAGAAATGCTCCAATGTATATTAACACCTATATGAAACCTGATTAATGGAAATATGGTCATGTGTAATTGATGGGAATGATATGTATCTTCAGTAATGTGAGAAAGATCATAAAAATGTAGTTTCATGTTTTTTTGGGTACCATCATTTACTTGGTGAAATGAATTTTTAGTTTTTGACAGTGATATAGTTTTGAGTTTGTTTCATGTCATTCCGCCGGACCAAAATTTTTCATCTGACCTTTTGCCATCTCTATACGGTCAAGGTCTTGAATGACAATGATGATAGTTGATTGTTTTGGTGTTAGACAATGTCATCTCGGAGGGACACAAAGCCCCTTTTGTTTCTCCGAAGCAGCACCGTCCTATTTTGTACCTTTTTCCCCTCATAAATAAACTAGCCATAGAACTCAAAACGGAAATGTCGATTGTCAATCTGAAAATCCATGCTTCCAATATTTAATGAGGAATATATTCCCCAAACTGGAATTTCTGTCAAATCAGAAGTGCTGAATTTGTTGGGGGCATTGGTGACATGGTGGGGAGGGGATGCGGAAGAAATTTTGAATGAAGGATATTGTGACATGGTGCAACATGGATGGACCATAATGGTTCATTGCAAATTTAAAACCTCAATTTTCTTCTATCAATCTTGAAGATGTTTACAAGGGCCTGAAAAGAAAAGGGACATCAAAAGACACTGGAAATCTGTAATGGCATAAAGGATACATGGGCATAAATGAAAGATAAGCCACCTAATTTAGAAGATTGAATCGACACCTTTTTCCTTGGCTAGTATAAATTGATACCTTATGCATGAGGATGTTATAAGCTTCCACAGTTCTTTGAGGAGTGCATTAAAAAAATTTCAGGAAGGTGGTCCAATTGGTCTAGTCAAAAATGGAGACATCATCACAATAGATATTCGTGAGAGAAGAATGGACGTTCATTTAACAGATCAGGAGATGGCCGAGCGAAGGATGAAGTGGAGTCCCCCTGCATACAAGGCTGACCGAGGAGTTTTGTACAAGGTATGCAAAATCTGATTTGATGACTATTTACTATGTAGGTTGTGACGCCTTTATTGAAGGAATATCTTTTTTTCATTCCAGTACATCAAGAACGTGCAGTCAGCTTCAAAGGGATGTGTGACTGATGAATAGTAGAGTTCGAATTTGTTAGGAAGGTATAGAGTGAATCTACAAGCCCGACTTATTACAAGCCACAATTCGGGCGCCTTGTTGCGGCTCTTTAGGGTAACTTTATGGTTGTTCCTTCCCCTGCAATAAGTTATGTTCATTGCGTTGAAGTTGATTAGATTGTACATTTTCTGTACAAGTTTTCATTGAAAGAGTTCCATGGATTTTTGGCTTTATAATAAATCAAATCTGAAAAAGAATATATATATATATTGATTAATTAAATCCAATGGCAGAATGCATGGAAATATTACTAACACTTGCCATTATTGTTCATTACACCTGTCAGTTCAAAATGTTTGGATATTCCATTTCGATTTCTTCTGTAGGATGGGTATTTGGTGTGTTGTCTAAGCCTTTGTTTTCCATAAAATTGTTGAATAGTATCTTATAAACCTTACGTACATATATTTTTTCTTTAGTTGGTACACACATGCCTTTATTGAGGCTTGAACCCTTAACCTCCTTTTGAGAGGTAAGGGCTAGATACCGTTAGGTCACTGGCCCGTTGTGTAGGCGAATGAACTATGAGTTTGTCATTTAAATCTAGTTTGCTTATGAGCATTTTGCTCCCCTCTTTATGTCAACAAAGCTCTTGGTTTACAGCCCAATAGTACATGTATGACTGTATGTGTAATATTTGTGTTTGTGTGTGTAATGTTGCTATGAAAATAGTAAGAAGTGTATATTGTTGCTATGCAGATGAAAATCTGTGTTCCAAATGAAATGGTTTGATCTGTACCTTGTTAAGCATGGCAGGTACCAAAATATTCTATGATGTGTTCCCTGCTCACCTGCAAATAATCAAATTGGTAGTCACTGTTGGTTGATTACTACATCCGAATTGACTCGGCTCAAAATTCAAATCATGCTTTTGTCTGTCTGTCGGTCTGTTATAGATCATCATTATCATACTTTTGTCTGTCTGTCGGTCAGTCATAGATCATCATTATGAGGAATTTCAAATACAGGTCTACATAAATTAACTAAACAAGTTTTGACAAGGATTATAATAAGCTGTCAGTCTGTCACACATGCCCAGGGCCGTAATTGCGGTCTGGGTCGCCAAATTTAGTTACCCATTCCATGATTCAAACATTGGGCCCACAATTCGGCGAGCCCATTGGAGGCCCACAATAGCCAAAAATGTAGTTTTGGCTCTCTGAAACCATTCTCCCATTGGACTTTCTCAAAATGTGTGTATATATCTATCTATTAAAATTGAAAAAAAAAAAAAATAAGTGCGGTATATTTCACTATGTGACCCATAAAATCTAAAGATTGTACTTTTACAATAGCAACTATCCTTAGCACAACTCGAAAAAAAAAATGACTTTTTGATGAAAGCAGAATATAATTTCATTTGTTATAACGGAATGAGGATAAAACGGATCATATACTTATTTATTTAAAAAGAATAACCAAAATACTATTTACTGATTGTGTGATTTAGATTTTTGAAAATAGTCGTCTGAATATAAAAATAGTTTTTGAAATTTGAATGGACATTGGCCGTAGTAGACTTGGCAAGTAATGAAATTTATCCAGAGTCGTCATCGGACCGATAGACGTAAGAGGCGGGCTTTTGCACTGGGCCGACTCTCCTCTAACCCCACTAGAACTTCATACAATATTGTTGCGCACACTGGAAGCTTTTTTAGCCCACCAATCAGCGCGCGAATTTAACAACTCAAAGCCTTTCCACGCTCTTTGAAGCCGCGTGCACACCACTAAAGTATAAAAGCAATTACATCGTAATTTCAGCACACTATGGTTCTATTTGACATGCGTTTTGTTTTTGTTTTTGGGTTATTATAGTGTCGATTTTGGCAACAAAAACATGTTTGGTGCAACCTTATTTTATTTTACACAGTGCTTAAAACACTTCGTGAATAGTGGCCCAAACCAAAACACAAAAAAGATATTTTTTCTTGTTTTGACAATTGTTCATGGCCCAAAACTATAATTTTTGTTTCCGACATTTTCATATCAAAACATTTTTCACAAAAGTGCTTCTAATTTTTTTTTTGTTTCCAAACACTCTTACAATAAAAACATTGTTTTTATTTTTACCCAAAAACAAAGTCTTATGACCAACCGCCCCATAAAGAAGCTATATAGTACACCATAATTCCAGTGCACTACACGTTTCAAAAGCGCGACTGTGATTATTTTAGAGAGAGAGAGAGAGGCTGTCCAGCAACATTTGTCTCTCTCCTCTCTCGGACGTGTCGAGCTTAGACGCTGCTACTGCCTCCGTAGTGGGGTTTGAACCAACAGTGAAAACCCATCAAGGGTTCAAACTATCCTCACTCACCCTCTCTCTCTCTCTCTCGGTATCTGATGTATTTGGGTTCTCTGTTGAAGCTTCAAGTGAACTGGGTAATTAATTTGCACCGTTTATTTGGCTTTTGATTTTCCACTCATTGTTATTTTCTATTTGTTCAATCTTGGACTTAAAGTTCGTTTCTTTTTCCCCCAAAAATGTGTCTATTTGGTGGTCAATTTTTATGTTACTTCATATAGCATTATTAAGTTGTTTATGGGATTGATGTGTCATTTTCTTTTAATTACATAAGTTTTTTTTTTTTTTTTTTTAAAGTGCTTTGATTACATGAGGTTCTACTTAATATTCGAATTGATTCCATATTGTACAACGGGATTATATGCATCTCTTTTTTCTATGCATGCATTGATTGTATCTATTTCTGTCTGTGTCTATGCGTGCATGTATATAGATTGTTTATCAGTTTGTTTTTATTTGTGATGAAGTTTATCATATCTTTTTTTTTAATGGATATATATATATATATATATATATATATATATATATATAAAATTTTGGGATTCTATATATTGTTTGTCAGTTTGTTTTTATTTGTGATGAAATTCTATTTATTTATTTATTTTTTTCTTAAATGGAAATATTTGGATATAGGAATCTACTCTTGTTTTGTAACTTGCACATCAAAATGTCAATTTTTTTTTAATACCATGAGGTTCTATTTAATATTCGAATTAATTCCATATTGTAGAGTGGGATTATAACATGCATCTCTATCTCTGTTTTTCTAGGCATGCATTAATTGTATCTATTTCCGTGTTTCTCTATGCATGCATGTATATATAGATTGTTTATCAGTTAGTTTTTATTTTTGATACAGTTTATCTTTTTACTTATTTATTTATTTTTTTTAAAATGGAAATATTTGATTTTTTTTTTTTTTTTTAATTTTTGGTAAGCTACTATTATTATTTTTAATTTGCACATCAAAATGCCATTTTTCTCATTAGCACTAAGTGTACTAGTATTTTGATTTGGTATTTCTACATGGTTGTTGTGGTCTCCTTGTTATTCTGGAGAAGGAATCTTGTACTATTGTTTCTGTTCTGTGTTTGATTTATTTATTTTATTTTTATGTTTACATCACTATCTGTGAAGAACATAATAATAGTTCTTCTTGTAGTGTAGAGATTGGTGGGTTTAGGGGAAAACTAAATCAATAATAGAATCTTGGGATTGTGAGTTGATCAATGCAAGAATCAAGATGTAGCATCTTCCTTGAAATCTTATTCAAATCTGTTTGATTTTGAATACTTTCCTTTTTATATAGTTAATAGCAGAACCATCTTTGGCTTATTGTATTTGCTTTCAATTTTCAAAAGAAGCAAAAGCAAATTTGGTGGGAATTCTAATATATTTTGCAAGAATTTTCCCATTAATGGTTCAGTTTCAAGAACTGAAACAGTTTAAGAGCTCATTTTTTTTTGAAAATGATAGCGAGGCCCAATAATTTCCTCTAAATTATGATGTTTCTGTCACCACGGATTATGCTTCATCTATGCTCTAAACCTTTTGAAGTTTAAAAATCCGGCAACGGCTTTTTGACTTCTACTGATTGCTTTTGGTTTGGTTTGGTTTTTTCTCAAATTTATCTTCTGATATTTGCACTCAAACAATACTTTCTTCCACACCTGTGTGGTGCAACCTCCTCCTTACAGTTGATGTGTCATAATCTTATAGGATCACAGGCCTTTTTATAATATTAAATAAATAAATAAAAAACAAAAAGAAAAATAAGCTACTTTGCGGGTGGGTCCCACTACTACCAAGTGGCATGATATGATTGTATTCATGCTGATTCATGCCACATTAGCTGTAAGGAGGAGGTTGCTCCTCATGCGTTAGGAGGTAGAGATTTTTCTTTCCACTCCCCTTTTGTACTCTTGCACAGTTGCACCCCCTTCACTTTCTTTTCCCTAAAAAAAAAAAAAAAGAAAAAGAAAAAAAGTCGTCCTTTAAAAGCATTCTCATGCTCCACCATTATCCCCAAAACTAATTTTGTGCTCAACTATGAAGAATAATTTTGTCATTAATTTATTAAAAAAATTAAGCAGAGTGCAAGAGTACAAAATTGGAGTGCAAATATCATTTTCCTTGCATATGGATGTAATTGATTATGCTTGTTACCATTAGAGATGTATTTTATAATTTCTGCTTTATGTTTTTCATTTATCTTTCTTATATTTTAATTATCTTATTTCTTCTTTCTTTTTCCTCTTCTTGTTTTTTTATTTTTTTATTTTTGGTTGATAGTAGTTTGACTGTTAATCTCAAGTATAAAATTGCTTATTACGGCTGTTACTGATTTTATTTGTTGGATATGACCTGTTGGAACTTTGATTTGCAGAATATGGATTATACGAAGATTGATGTTAATGGCAGGGATTGTATCGAGAAGGAAGCTGATTCATCAGTGACTGGTCATTCAGGAAACACTAATTCTTCTGATGAAAGGGTTAGACACCGGTTAAGGGATGGGGGTAAGGTGGTCATTGGTAATGGGCACAGGAGAAGTTTGGCCTCGAGCCCTCCAAATGAAAAAACTAAATCCCACAATGAATGTACAGTATCTGCATTGAGTAGTTCTTCTTCCAAGAATGCTCATTTGTTTAGCGGAACGGTGGCACACAAGACCGTCAGATATAATGACAAAGATCGTTTTCATTCTCAACATAATGGGAAAGGAAAGGCTTTGTGTATTTCCCAGTCATCTGCCTGCCAAGAGGATCGTCCTGTTGTAGATTTGATGCAACAGAAGAGGCATGCTCAAGAATTCGAGCAGGTTTTCCCACGTGGAGCATTAAGAAATTCTCAAGTGGAAGAAACTAGGAAGGTATTAATATCTACTAATAGATTTTCTTCTTTAAATGGCATGGGATGTCCTTCAACGGCATCAGGCAGTGATCGAAAAGGTAAAGGTGAAGAAAAAGTAGTGGATGCTTGTAAAGGTGATTCAGGTTTTGCTCGTGGTAAAGGAATTAATTTTGTCAGTGATTCTCAACCTAATGCTGGAAAGTTAATGTCTGCATCTATAAATTCTATTAGCTCACATAGAGTTACAGGTCGAAAAAGATCGGTGAGAAGCGGATGTGAATCTCCACATGACATAGTGAAGGCCAAACAGATAGCTGAGAAGCGAAATAATTGTCGTATTGATCTTGAACATAATGATTCCTGGATTGTGGCGTCCAATTGTCCTCATAGAGTGAAAGGGAAAGGGGTTATGGATCATCATTTTTTAGCAAAAGAACCGCGTACTAAAACTACGCATTTGTCTACCAGGTATGACATTTGTGTGCCTTTCTTTGGTTAAACTATTTCTTTTGTTTGTGATTTTTTTTTTTTTTTTTCTTTTTCATTTTTGTTAGTTAGGAATCATGATTGTGATTGTAATGCTAAGTTGCTGCTAAATTCTGTAGGATAATTGGAGTTATCTATTGATCTTTATCTGTTTCAGTACTTCCCTAAAGGCCATTATTCTGTATTCCCATACCAATGAAGGGTTCTGGTTGGGATGGATTATGTATATGCCTAAACCATGGTTTTATTTTGAAATGGCATTCTGATGCTTGGCAGCCAGAGCACTAATAAATGCTCCTCCTCTAATAATTAGCAGAATCCAACTTTTATTCTGTATTTATGTGCTACAGTTCTGTCCAAACCTTTTGGGATCCTTACATGGATAATAGTTTAAGTGAAAGTCTGAAAATGTGAGATGGACTTATTTTTGTTGTTATTATTAATTTTTTGGTGCTATTGTTGGTAGATGTTTTGGTGCATCAACATTATCTGTCCTCTTAGTATGAGATATTCATATTTCATAATTATAGGGATAATGAAAAGGCCAACAGGATCAGTGATGTCACTAGAGATGCATTCGGATGCTTTGATGGATTGGGTGGATGGAGAAGTATGCATAACCGTATGAAGAAAACAACTCTACCCTTGTCTGACGAGGATTGGCGTCTTTCCAGGAGAAAGGATGACTATAGTTTTGTTCATCAACATCACAAGAAAAGGGTGTTGAGAAAAAATGATGGAGATGGAGTTAGTAACAACACTGTTAATGATTCTGCCAAAGACTGGGATCAGGACTTGTTTCAGCATAAATCTGCCTCACCTGTAGCTGAAACAATATCTCATATTATGTCTCAGTTGGATGAATTTGATGCACAGTGTCATGCTGCAATCTCACTTATGGAAAAGAAGAAACCAAGCTCCACTTCAAGCAATCATGTCCAATGCTCTACATCAGGTTCGGCCAATCAACCCCATGAAAACAGTTTGTTGAGAAAAAATAATGAGGATGGAATTTGTAACAGAATTGGTCATGATTCTCCCAAAGACTGGGATGCAGCCTGTCAGCATGGGTCTACTGCAACTGTTGCTCAAACAGCATCGCGTATTATGTCTTATTTGGACCAATTTGATGAGTGTTGTGATGCGGCAATCTCACTTATGGAAAGAAATAAGGCAGGCTCCACTTCCGGTAATCGCGGTGAATCCTCTAGAGCAGGTTTTGATGATCCTCAAATCACTTATCTCGGCGCAAATATAATTCAGAATCATCAGCGTTTGGGCATTTCAGATCCAGTTGGAATAAGAAACATTGCCTCTCGAAGTATAGGTTGCAGTAGAAATGATGACTCAGATGGCAGGGCAAGACAGGTAGAATCGGATGAGATGTTGGCTCGTGAACTCCAAGAACAATTTTATTATGAGGTGCCAGAATTTGCAGAGGTTTTTTTCTGGCTGTCTTATGTCTTAATTTTTTCCTTATTATTATTATTTTTTTAACTTATGGACTATGGTGAGATGCTTTATATCATTGTCTTGTTTGTGTTTATTCTACTATGAAAGATTAATGTGCACATAGAATTGGGATTGCAGTTGCAGGAAGATTCATGGCATGCTTTTTATAGTGGAAGCCGTCATGTATCTCACCGTGTAAGTGTGCCTCTGCATATGTCATGAATCGTGACCCTCTAATTATATACAATTGTCAACTAGAATGTCATAGAGAGACAAGAATGTCAGTTGGTGAGAGCAGTTTTTACTTTTTTAGCAGTTTTTTTTTTAAGTGCTAGGGCCAATAATGTAAGAATCTTCTAGTTTCTATAAGAATGTACAATCTTTCCCATATTTTGGTATCTTTCAACTCTCTCCAACAATCCACAACTTACTACTTTGAAAGACTAGAACTAACTCTTTCCCATATACCACGTAGACATCCTTCTTAGTGCTTGCGTGTCGCCTGCGTGGCGCAACTTCCCTGCAATTATATGGGGTGTTACATAGAGCTCTTTAAGAAAAAAATGGCCAAACACTATTTTTTAATTAAATTTTATGTTAGTCTGGTTTTTTTGAAAATTTACTGCATTTTTTTTCATAAAACCAGGTCAATTTTTTTTAATCAATCTAAGTTACTGAATTTTCCTTTGGCTGTCTGTTATTATATATATATATATATAATTATAATTACTTAATCAGATGGTAGATGTATGTGCCTGCCTACGTAGGTTTTAAATGATGACTGATGCCTTCTTTTGCGATGCAGTTGCAGGGTATTAATATTGTGGATGCGCTAGAGGCATTTACTAGCAGAGTGGCTGATAACTTGCTTCCAGTTCAGCGTGTTTCCAATCAGTGAGAGAACTTTTTATATTTGAATAGATTTATATTTTTCTTCATTATAAACAATTATTGTTCATATTGGAAAAAAGATGCAGCTTGTGTTTGCCAGGCAAGTACCGAGTTCTAGCACTGTTCTTTACTCAGTGTTGAATTGACTGGAGTGTTATGATTCTGATTTTAGAAGTACCAAAGTTTCTACGTACTGCTTTCAGATGCCATTTTTTTCCCTTGTTGGAGTTGGCATGAATGAGCATTTTGTCCTACATTAGTTGCACAAGCAAATGCCAGGATGAGCATATGAAAATTTAAATGAGTTATTTCACAAGCCTCGGGGGCATTTTAGTGTCACCTAATTTTCTTTCACTTTCTTCACACATCCAATTACTCTGTTTATACTGGAGTTTTTGAGGATTTACCAGCTGATATTTTTTCACAAGATTCTGCAAATATGTACATTAAAAATCCTCTAGCCTGACTCGTTTCATAAATTTATCTGTCTGTCATTGCTGTGTCATCTGATCTATATTTTTCCAATTGATGAATGGAGTTGCAACCTTCCAGGAAATTTCTTTTTCTTTTCTTTCTTCTTCTTATTTATTTATTTATTTATTTGTTTTTTATTTTTAATTAAGACTTTTAAAGACTAGTATTTTCAGCTTGTATAACTTTTTTTTTTTTTTTCCCTTCTGGTCAGACATTATGAAACGTTATTGGCTCTAGATGAGAACAACAGATATGTTGGTGCATCTATTGATCAGATTAATGAATTGCCACAGACAACAGTTCAGGTAAATACTTGAATATTACACCTCGCTTTTTGTTGCATGTCTGTTCTGAGATACAGGGCAGTAAGTAGATCTTCAGGCTTGCTTGCTATTGATTTTGTTCTGTTTCTTTGTCATGCAGACTGATGGTTTCGAAGAACCTTGTGCAATTTGTCTTGAAACCCCAACCACTGGAGATATTATACGCCATCTACCTTGCTTACATAAATTTCACAAAGATGTAGGAACTTGTAACCTTTTCTTGTTACAATTTATTTCCTTTTTATGAGAAGCCACCAAATATCTAACCTTTCTAACCCCCTCCTCACAGTGCATTGATCCATGGCTCGGAATAAGAACATCATGCCCTGTTTGCAAGTCTTCCATCATTTGATTTGCAGTAGGGGTTCTTATGCTTCATGTCATGATGTTTTTGCTTCAACTGAAACCAAAACCTTGAAGCTATATTATTCAAGGTGCTAAGGTAATCATAGATGCAACTTTTACTGACTTGAAACTTTTGGTAATTTCAGATCTGTGTATACTGATGGAGTGACTAGTTTGATTTTTGTCTGTATGATCTCTGAGGAGAGGGAAAAATAATCTTTAGTGTATATATGTTATTGCCCTGAAAGTTGTTTTGTCTGGGATATGCTTTTGCAAATGACTTATAGAGGTCAAGATATGATATGTGCTTGACATACAACCAAGCTTTATGCATGACATTTATGGGTTGTTTCATTGCCCTTAAAAGGCAAGAAGTCCCGCTTAAAACCTCACATGTCAAAATCAGCCAGGTTCTTGTATTCACAGCCGTTGATCCAAGGAACCCATTGTAGTCATTCAGTTCTTTTATTTAGTGTGTTAAAATGTTATACATAACACCAGCAAAGCATATGCATTTTTATCCGTTAGCATTAAACACATTCTAACCCCTCCCCCTTCCCTTGCATCATTTTTTACTTTTATTCGCGTTGTGTAGGCGATGAAGGTGGTGGTGCAGAAGAACACGATTTCTCACTCCCTGTTATGTCTTTCACTTGTGAAAATCCCTTTTTTTTTTTTTTTTCTTCATTGTTTCTACCACTTAAATGAGCAGTGGTGTGGACTTCTCTTCTTTTCATTCACCTTGCCAACTGGAAGTTGCATCAGTGATGGAAAATGTAAATTGGTGGAAAAGAATTAATGGACTACTGACGTAGAAAGTTATCTGGACATTTGATGAGCTTGGAATTAGACTATAGAGGTAAAAAGTTATCTGGGCATTTTATGAACTAGGAATTGGATTGTTCCAAAGGCTTTTACAGGTGTAGTATGGGCATTTGCATATGCTGAACCTTGGGGAGTGAGTACGAGACATTAGCCTATGGGTTGACTTGGACTGATCCTAACTCAAACTGGGTCAAATATGGTTGGTTCGTAACTACAATAGATGATGCCACCATCTAAGCAGAAGCTGACCAATTCCCACTATGCCCCTGGTCCTCACTTCCTGGTCCAACAAAGGCCAAGACCCAATTAGACTTGCAGGAGCATCAAATAGAATGATCAAAATATGATAGGATGGGAGAATTTGTCATTTTCCTTATATTCAATGATTCCGGAGAAATATTTTTTTCCCAAGTTCATTTGAGAGGAAAAAAAGAAAAAAGAAGAGAGGAAGAATTAGTTTTCTTACATTTGGTGAAATGTCTGAATCCAAATCAAATCAAACGAACAAAGATTGAGATCGAAAGTGGTCTTGGACATGAATGAATTAACAAAACGAATAATCTTTAAGAATCGATGCATGGTAGACTCTCAATGCTTGTAGCCATCAATGCATTAAGATCGAGGCTTTTTTTCAATCCAAAAATGTGCAGAAGAAATTACAAAGGAATGGAATCTGCCGAGCTCATTTTTAGAACCATCCCACAGAAACCCGTTCTTCACCTTTCAATCACCGGCCATTAACTTCCCTCACCCTATCCAGGAATGGAATGTGTGTTTTTTTTGGGGCCGTGCTTGGACAATATAGACTATTCAAAAACAAAATTTTTTTTTCTTCAGCAAGTCAAACATTTTAAAAAAATAATGTTCTTAGACATGAACTCAAAAACAAGTTTGTGATTTGGTATAAGCACATTCCATCATGGAATGGGTGATGCAGGGGTCTCACAAAATCATTCTTCTTCTTCTTCTTCTTCTTGCCCAATGTTGAAAATTCGCTGGTTTACGTTACCATCTACACGTCGTATCCGTATCCTCAAAACTTGATTCCACTGAGGAATATTGACGCCGTATACGCCGCCCATGGGATACATGAACATCTGATTCCTGTTGACTGCACTGTCACCCATTACAAACGAAATTTCATATCGACAGTCCACAGATGGTGAACCGCAGCTCCAGGCAGCCACTTGAGCAGATTGATTATCCCTGTGACATCGGCTGGAGATAGTAATTTGATGACATTTGACGTGTCCAAGGCTTCTAGTAAACCAATCGCGGTCATTTTCAGCATTTCTATGATACCATTTAGTCTCTGAATTTCCTCGTTAAGCGCTTGCACTTGGCCTTCTTCTCCGGCAGCCAAATTTCTTAAAATTTCTTCTTGTTCATGCCTCCTAAGTAATCCATTATCGATGGCACAGCAGAAATTCCTAATTTTTGCCCATGTGGGGTCCTGAATCTGTATTAAAATAACATTAATGGAAAAAGAAAGAAAGAAAAAGAAAAAGAAAAAAAAGAAGAAATTTATATATATACCTCTAGAATTGGACCCCATGGACCAAAATTTGGGTCTTCCGGGGGGCCATCTGGAATTACATTTGGAATTGCAGGGTTGTCGTTTGGAATTGCCGGGTTGTCATCTGGAACTTGAGGGTTATCTGGATCTTCAGGGTTAACCACCGGGACAATGGGATGAACAAAAACATTTGGAACCACAGCAGGTTCTGCATTCACATCATCAAAATCTGCAGGGTTATCAAAGTCAGCAAACTTTCGTTTCTTCCTGACTCTAGAATTCAGTAAACGGAACGCTGTCGGCTCCAGAAGTTCTCCCAACACTTCACTGGTAGAATTTCTGTAGTTGTGAATAACAGAAACTAGAAACTTTAGGGTCTTCATGTCAATATCAGTTATGCTGACCTGGCTACAAAACATATGGAAAGGCTTCAATCAGATTTTTTGCAACAAAATTAGTATGCATATGTATAAAGAATGCACATATATAAAGAATGCGTTTGGTGCACCAGTCTTTGTAATTTTAAAAACCCAGACTGACAAGCATGAGGACAAGGGTTTCAATATTAGAGCAACTATTTTTTTTACAAAAATAATGCTAAAAGTTAAAGTTTCTCCAGTCTTTCCCTCCTAGCACTCCACATAGGGACCAACATTGCATAAAGGCAAAATCATTTATTGTTCACTTATTTTCTGCAAATTAATGTAAATTATTGATTGACATTGTAAAATCAAGTAGGTGAATTATTTGAGATTATTCTTAAGCAGTGTCATTTAGTCACATAGGCATCAAGAAGTCAAATATTCATTTTCAATATAGAAGCTCACATATCATAGTAAGAAACTGACTACTTACAGAGACTGAGAAACAGCAGACATAGCAAAGACCGGTGCAGCAAACGCATCAGATTCGCACACTCTCAATGGTTCATCATTGAAGCTCTCCACGAACTCAAAATATTCAGTTACAATTCTTGTTCGACAACACTTCTCATCTTATCCGAAAGCAAATTTAGCTGGAATCCTTCCATAAGCAAGGCTACAAACATAATTGATGACAACTTAGATCCGCTACTGCCAACAATGGAACTGTAAGCTTGATCTACCGTATGTTGTGGACAACATGTAAGAATCATGCAAATTGATCTTGCAATTTCGCGTAGAGCACTACCAGGAACAAGAACCGAATTTGAAGAAGCCACAAATCTCAACAATAAGCAAAGTTTATCAATAATGTCAGTCACCATGTCTATTTCAGCATGACGCACCACAAAACACCAAAGTTCCATAACAATCTCCCAGCAAAGGAAGTGAGGATGCAATAAGTTTTCGAGCAGGAAGGATTCCATTTCACCCCAAGCTGGACTGGAATAGACTACAGTCATGAATGTTTTCAGTGCGTGCAGAATGTTAGAAAACATAGGCTCATAAGCTAATTCCGGGGTTTCACTAGAACCATATAATATAGGAACTTGCAAAGCAAGGACGGAAGAATACACCTCCTCATCAATTAAAACTTTAAAAAGCCATCCAAGCTTTCTAGTGATCCCTAGTATTACATCTTCTTCAAGATCAGCAGCACTTTTCAGAAATCTAAGAAATAAAGCAACCCGACCAAGCAATAATATTCTTGCTCCATGCATAGCATCACAATTTAAAGAAAACATTTTATCGATTGAAGAAGTCCTATAGTTACTATTCCGACCTCCAGGGATAATCATTAAATCACTTTCATCAATGAACAACCAGTCCAGAATTTGGAACTTGTGTTCCTGTTTCACTTGAAAGGAATTTAATAAAGAATTCAGTAAATGGAACGCTGTTGGCTCCAGAAGTTCTCCCAACAATTCACTAGCAGATTTCAGGAGTTCCCCTTTACTCAGTGAGATTCTGAAAGTTGAGATCATCAGGACACATAGTGTTATATCCCTGTATATTGAAAAGGCTTGGCATGGGTATTGGGAGGATATTCTTACTGCATTAATCAGGTAAAATTTTATTGGTAGGAATATCCTTTTAGCATCTGCCACAGAAACCGCTTCCTTCAGCACAGAAGACCAATTCTCAGCTGCACATCTTAAAGATTCATTTGCCAGTGAAATTAGAGTGAGAACAATGTCAGCCACATCCACCTTTACTGCTAAAGCGCCATTGCCAAGCTGAAGCAAGGTAACCACAACTCTCCATGACAAATTAAGTATAGCCACAAGACTCCCACCATCTTTAGCTGCAAGGATACCCAATTCACACAAAATTTCTATGCACCGAGTTGCTATATTGATAAAATGATTTGCATTATCGGCCCCTTCAAAATCTATGATGTTTTTAGCTTTATCAATTCTTGAATTGAAGAAATCCCAATTTACATCATCAGAATACACCTTGCAAAGTCGGATCACAGCATCAAGGACTCCCAGTGCTATCTTCAGTATTTCCAAACCAAAAGCACGAATTCTCTGTTTGGTTATGATAAAGGACAACACTTAGCAAGTGATACTAACTAGTTTTTCGGATTGACAATAAATTATGCTGGCAGATTAAGTTCTGAATTCTGGAAAATAATAAGATTGGTGTTTCAAATTAAGATCATGCTTAAGGTCAACTGAAGTTCTAACTGAATTTGGTGCAACATGTTCAGTTCAACCAGCCAGTATAGAAGAACCCAGGTTTGAGATCGAGTTTGATTTGACAAAGAATATTGTTCAAATTGAACGATACTGATGGGGAAGTACATGTACACTAAGTAACTTACAGGAATCCAAGTCTACATTGAAGGAAATACTGCCTTTTTGTCATAATTACAATAGGTGAAATGAAGGGGAACCAGAGACATACTACTAAAGACTAATACATATCCTTAGTTTCACCAACATAACTATGTGAAGCTTGGTTCCTCAAGCTGAGGTCATTAAGAAACTGAGCCTTATACTGAGGTATTAGAATGGTTCATCCAAAAAGTTGATGAGGTCGTTATGAAGCTGAGCCTATGAGTTCAGTTTCACCCAGTGCTAAAAGGTTCTTTTCCTTACTCAAAGTGCATAGTTCTCAAAGAGCCAACTCGTGTGACTGCAAAATTATAATATATGGAAAAAGGCTGAAACCGTTTAACAACATTTTGAACACTAATTTTGCATCTAAAAGATAAAGAGAAAATTAAGTGTTTCCTTGTTTCTACCAATTTCCCTAAGGAGTTAAATATATTTTGTACTTCACATGCAATTTATGTCATATGAGATTGATTTAATTTGCTTGATAACATGTTAGTGGCAACTCTCTTAAACAAAATTTTCTCTACCATGAACGGGCACAGAAATAATAAATGCAAATATTTAATACCTTAATCACCAATATTGAATCCTTAGTCAGATTTAACTGTTCGATAGTGAAGTTCTCAACAATAACCATCAACTCCTTGTCAACTTGAAGAGGATATCTTGCTAGAGCCGAAAAACTAGCAGCAGAGTAGCTCAACAAATCCAAAAGCAACTGAAAAAGAAAAGTTCAAAGCTGTCAAATAGAACTGGATTGGCCTAAATGCATTAAAAACATGTCAATGCAGATAAACTAATGCCAGACCTTGTAAATTTTCAGAAATCAAAGAAAACACGACCAGATTACCACTTGCAAGAAAATAAATAAAATCACGAATATTTATACAACAAAAGAAGTTACATAAGATCTCATCTATGAAAGAGGAGATGCATCGAGGAAGAAAGAGATGTTTTTAACATAATGAATGATGGTAGGTGATTAATTCGAAGAAACACAGATGAAGTTATAATGAATGATGGTAGGTTATATTCAGTTATAATGAATGATGGTAGGTTACATACACTTCATCCGTGTTTCTTGAATTAATCACCTACCATTATTCATTATGTTAAAAACATATCTTTCTTCCTCGATGCATCTCCTCTCTCCTTACCCTCTATACAAATTAGTCTTCCTCTTGTTATTGCTGCATTTATGGGTCTTCGTTGTATATGTCCATACCACCTAAATCTACTTTATTTTATTTTATCAACAACATACATCACTCCTAATTTTTCTCACTTTGATTAATGACCTTATCTCTTCTAGTCACTTCTACCTCCATCTTTACATTCTCATTTCAACTACATGAGCTTTTTATTTTTAAATTTATTTTTTATTAGTCCAAAGCTCTGCTCCATATATAATAATAGGTCTAATAATTGTTCTACAAAATTTTCCTTTTAACTTTTTGTTATTCTTTTGAGGGCAAGCCTTGGCACAACAAGAAGGTTGCTGCATTGTGACTTGGAGGTCACGGGATCAAAAGAAGGAAACAAACTCTCCTCATTGCGGAGGTAAGACTGTGTACATCTGACCTTCCCCAGACCCTCGCAGTGGCGGGAGCCTCTTGCACTGGATTTGCCCTTTTTTTACTTATTTGTTATTCTTTTATCACTTAACACACCACAAACCTGTCTCTATTTTGTCCAACCTGATGCAATTCTACTGATAATATCGCCATCTATCTCGCTCTCTGGTTATTATAGATAATCCTTTGGTTTTGAAGTGTGACCATTTTATTATCAATATTTGAATCTTCATTAAGTTTACATTCCATATATTCAGTTTTAGTCCTATTAATTTTTAAACATTTTGATTCTATTGCATTTCTCCACAATTCTAATTTTATTGTTACGTTTTCTTTAAAGGAAAATCCAATAACCCTATGGCATTGGCACACACCATGCACCAGAAAATGTTTCCTTGTTATTCTTTTATGATTTCATCTTAAATTACCATGCATAAATATGGGCTTAGAGCTTGGTGTAATTTTACATTTATAGGAAAGTCACAAGTCTCATCACATATGGTCCGAGATGCTGACTACGTTTGTTCCAAACAATTCAATAATACAAAAGAATACAAATGTCATTTCCCCGTTCATGTCCAAACTTATATATCTACTGTATATAAAAAAAACCTTGGCAAAATTTAGATGTATGTATAGAAAAGTTACACCACAGCTATATATTTGTTCTCAGCAATATAAGAAATTAAATACAAACTCAAAACAAAAAATGCCAATGCAAAACATAATGCCATTTTTTTAATGTGCATTAGGTAAAAATAATTTAAATAGAAAAATTAAGTATCTAAGAACTTAAAGAGGATACAAAAGTATGGAAAACTGAGTATCATCTCCTCTGATTTCTTATAAACACTTTGCTTCTTTTAAGTTCTGTCAACAGACAAATGATATTTTTTCCCAACGATGAATCCAGGAAAGCATGGCTAGGAAAATCCAAATTTAAGTATTTTATGAGTTCAAGGAGATTGGACTGAGAAGCAGTTGCATGAACAGATTCTAATACATTATTCAACATTTTGCAGAATAGGAGTTAGTATTGAAGTGCGTTTATTTTCTAGTATTAGTATTTTTATATGCCATAGTTTAATATGATTTATAACACAGTAAGTTATTTAAACAAGTAGCACCATTTGCAAATGATATCATGGTGTGCATATGCCTTGATATAATCATACTTCTAGATTCAATCATCCAATATATATTCAGTCAGACATATATGACTCTGAGAAAAATGATAGTGCAATATTGATTTAAATAAAGAACTCTACAGATTTTAATGGATAATAACACACTTCAAATTTAGATAAGCCAGCTTAATAATCGATGAATAACTATGACCAGCACCATCTCGTCCAATTTCTCAAGAATGAAATATATCAAGGGGAATTTTGGGTCCAGCACTAGCTTCTTCCTACATGAAGCAAGTTGACATAAAAACTACTTGATTTGAAAAAGAAAAAAGGATAATGCAAAATGAAGTTGGCACTCCTCTTTGCATATTTCTGTGAAAAGATTTGTTCTCAGATAACTAGTTGAGAGGAGAAAGTGCTACTTTTAACTACAAGAAGTTGGCATTTCTTCCTACAACCTAATACTAAAAAAAGGAGGAAGAAGAAATCATACAAATTGTAAAATCGATCTTTTAAAATTAGAACTCAATTTCTGTCAAATATCATTCACCTGAAAAAAGAGGTTACAATGTTCTTCTTCCTGAGATTCATCGGTTGACATAAGTGTCATCTTCAAATGCTTTCCACACCATATGCTTGCCTGATTATTAAACTGAAGATATTAAAAAACTTTTTGCTGCCAAGTTCAAGAAACTAAAATATATCTTCTGTTAAGATAATTATTCAATAACCTAATGAAGTAAATACAGGCCGGAAAAAAAAAAAGATCTACCTTGGTCCCTAGGGCAAGAAATAGTCCAAGACATCCGGATATGTCTGATTCTAGGTATTTGGCAGCCACATGTACAATAGTTTTGTTTAGCATGCACTGAGAAATGTCCAAACATGTGAAGTCTTCCCAAAATATCTGGTCCTTTGTTAAGATAAATAATATGATAAACAGTGGAGAGCAATCAAATGATACGTAGAAGAAATTACACATGGAACCATGGCCATTATATAATTGACAATCAATGTAGGTTGTTTAACTATAAGAGTGTACAAATGTGAGTTGTTGCTAACTAACCATACCATCTCATCTTTTGGAACACTAAATCGATAGATTTTGAGAATGGAATTTCTCACAATTGCTTCAGGCCATAGTAACCACGCATGCAACATTAAAAAAAATTATAAATATTAGGTAAGAAGATTTTTTTTGAGGAATCAAGAAGATGAGTTATTTACAGAGAGAAACAACCAATTATTACAAGTAAGAACTACTGTATGATAGCTTTACTATATATTTAATAAAATTTCGAATTGGCAACTCAATTATTTTCTAGAGCTTTCTCCTTTTTAGATAATTTTTCTTTTATACTACAATTAATTCTATTGCTGGAATAATAGCTTCTTGAGAGGACAAACTTTGTGAGAACAGGATTGTGGTCCAGTGGTGTTACTGTTAGCCTTACTTCTTACAAGATAAGAAGCACAATACAGTATCACAGTTCCAATGCAGGAGCATCACCTCATGGTTGGTTTTCCATTCAATCCTTCAACTCAATCCTCAGATCCTTTCTAGAAGCCAATTTTGACTACAGTTCACCATTTTCATTCCAAAAAGGGAAAATGTCAAATAAGTCAATTTGCCTTGTAAAAAGTTACCTGGCTTTTGCATGCATCACTTTATTCATTTCCCTTCAATTATTTTTTATTTCGTGTATAAAATAGAAAAGGGAAAGAAAAGAAAAAAGGAAGAAGAAAAGAATAGAAAACATAAAACGACGAAAGATAGCAACCAATGTACAAAACATGGAAAAGGGAAATTCGTTCAAAATTTGAACACAACACCAAGAAGATAAAAAACTAAAAGCCAAAATTTGTGTGTGTATGAGTTGGGGGGGGGGGGGGGGGGGGTTGTGACTTATACAGAACAAAATTAACATTTCGTAATCAGAACTCCATAAAACAGATCAGAGTTTAATGACACAACAATTTATGAAGTTGGATTTGTCATCTTCGCAGTGTGGAAAAAATGCAACTAATAAGTAATGGGTCTAATAAAAGTAAGCCACTTACTGGAAAGAAATATAATGTTCCAATCAATTCAACTAAATAGAAAGGAAATCTTTGAGATTGTATTTAAGGAATATCTTACACTTTCCATACTGAGTGCATAGAGTAGTTTCTGTTGCACAAGATTTTTAATTTGTAAGCTACAAAAAACTGCTATCCCTCCTTTCTTGGGACCAAATGCTTGAGTTTTAGATTAATATTTGTTAAATTTTAGTCCTTTAAGAAGATTAAGATGCTAGATATGCCCAACTCCAATGTGCACAAAATTTAAGATGTACATGCAAGAGAATGAATGACATGTTATAGTAGGAGTGGTAGGCTGGATACTGTGAGAGATTCAATAAGAGAAGCCAATTCAGATTTCCCAGATATATCCAACTCCCCAAGTTTGCTAATCAGTTGAACGCGGCTCTCAACAACCTGTAATATTCAGAGTGTAATTGGATAAAAACAGAAACAAGCAGAAACTATTAGTTTATTCTATTGCTGCAAAATTAAAAGTTCATTCACAAATCTAGAGTATACCGGATAAAAATAACATAGCAAATATGTAAAGATATTAACCTCAAGCAATTTTTGAGATAAGATGACAAATTTTATTACTATAATTTTTTTTTTTTTTTAAAAGATACCCCTTAGGAATAAAGGACTTTGTCAATCTGTTCAAACTGCATTTACATGCATGCCATACTACAAGGGTCAAAATTGTTGATAGTAGTAATAAATGGCACATTCTCAAGTTGCTTCCTAATGGAGAAATGGTAAATATGTCTCACATCATACATTATATGTAAGTAGCACTTTGAAAGTGTGCAAGGCCTGCATTGTGGATTATAAATTAAAACTCAAACTAGTAGACTCTACTGGATTAAGCTAAAAAAATGGAATCAGGAAAAGATTGTAGCAAATTAGTAATCCCAAATAAAATTAAACTAAATGACCTTGCAAAACTTGACTCAAATTTCCGAGGAGCAGTCCATCAATCCATATACAGGCATCAAGGCTCTATTTGGTCTCTTAGAAAATTTTAAAAACTTAAAAATATAATAATAAAATAGAAAAATACTCGTCTATATTTATTAGAACCTGAGAAAGCAAACTCCGATTATATCTAGTCTCTGTCTTATAGAACTATATGGCTTATTAGAGCCTTTTTCATTTTGGAAAAAGAAGCTAATACAACTGAGAATGTATAACACAGCGATATAACACGCAAATGAAAAGCGCACACAAGCTTCAAAGGGATAGAATGAACAGCTAATTTCCTAAATTCTCTACAAATTTCAGTTTGATTGCAGATAATTTGGTTGGAAACAATAGGATGACAGAAATTCAAATCAAATCCGTAAAATCGATCCGGTTGAACTGAATAACAATTTAACACAGTGATATAACGATAAATATATTCATCTGTAAACTAATTGACTTACACAATAGGAAGATCTAATGCAAGCATATATAAATGAACGACACGAATGAGATTAAACTGTGCTTAAAAATGCAACGAAGCTTACATCTGTCGCTTTGATGGCTTCGAGTAAGCTCTGCAAGTCGTTATTCAAGTTCTCTCCAGCCATTTCTATGTCTCTCCCTCTAAAATTTTCTCTCTCCTCTCTCTAACACTCTCTTTGGTCTCCTTTATGTGTTCTCTCTCTAGATCTATTTTTCCCTCTTTGCTTTCCCGCCTTTTCCAGGCTGAAGAAGGAGGAAATTTTTTTTTCAGAGATATTCATCAATTTCCCGTTATATTTTGATTTTATGGTTTTTGAGGCCTATTCTCAAAGAAATACGATTTTTCCCCGAATAAAAAAATTTCTTTGGGAAAATTTAACCATCCACTTAAGTTGAGGACTCCAAATTCTTTTCTTTTTTCAAAATGAAAATTTATTCTTATTATTATTATTATTTTTTAAAGTTTAAGTAAACACATCCGTTATGTATTTAAATACTTAATCTCTTCGTTTAAGAAAAACTCGGGTAAGAAATTATACCATCATCTAGGCTAGAGTCCATTAATTTTTTTTTTTAATTTTTTTTCTCCTTTCCTGGAGTGCCAGTTAACTAATTTTAATACTTGAATTTATACAATTATCTCAAAGAAAAATCTTTGTTAACTTGAATATGCAAAGTTTTAGACAAATTTAACTAACAATTATAGATCAAAAGGTGTTAAATTTGTTGATAAAAAGTAAAAATATGTAATAATTACCAGTGAATTTGATGAAGTAGTAGAAGAATTATAAATAGTAAAAGAATAAAAAGTAAAAAGGTACAAGAGATACAAAAATTACTATTGAAATAACCTTTATATTATAAATAAAAAAGAAAAGGAAAAAACAAAGCATATATCAGAAAAATAAGATAACTTTTAGGCTTTATTTGGTTATGTGGAAACAGCAAGAAAAGAAAGGAAAGAGAAAAACTTTAATTTTTTTTTAGAGGTTGGATAGATAGAAAGAGAAAACTAATTGAAAAGTTTATTTCTATACTTGTCTATTTTCTCTTAAAACTTTTTATGCACAAAATACAGGGAAATAAATTTTTCGTGTAAAATGTTTGCCTTTTTATTTGACATTCCTATTTTACAAATTAACTTAATCGTGAAAAACAATTTTTTCTTTTATTGTTGTACTGGATTTCTAAGGGGCAAGTTTTCTATAAAAACAACTTTTGTTTTGTTTTGTTTTTTATTTTTTATTTTTATTTTTCACAAGTTCATATATAATTCGCAACAACAAAATACAATCAAATCTCTCTAAAAGAAAATTAGTATTGCTATCAATACATCTCCGTGTGTTTTTTTTTTAAGTTTCGCTTCCCATACACTAATAATTAGTTATGAAGTCTTATTTTAAATATAAATAATTATATTATTAAATTTAATAATCCATTATTTTACAATTTTCTTGCTAAAAATATACATCAACAAATACAAATTCATTTATTTATTAGTATTTAAAATTATAAGGGCAAATTTGGTATCTTTAATGAATTTTTTTTTTTTACTTTCATACTGTCCAAAATAACAAATTAATATTTTTCTACAATTTTTTTGAATAAATTTTCATTCTAACCAAATGCATGTTAGAAAATATTTTTTTTTTTCATTCATTTCACTTTTCTTTCATTTTTTTTTTATTTTCTTATTTATTTCTATCTAACCAAACGGAGTCTTAGACCAAATAAAATACTTAGCTTGAATTTTTTACTTGGGATGCTCTTGGGCCCAACGTTGGGCAATTTCAGACTTCTTTATAACATCCCTAAATATGATTTGATTGGGCTACCAACGGGGCCAATATTTCTCAAATCCAGGCCCAAGCCAAACTTTGCACGCTAAAACGCATTTTACTTGTGTAGTTGATTAGCATGGTCAACCCTTTATTTTTGTCCCGCTAATAGTTTTGGGCTTATTATCAAATCCTATTGTTTTGGGTTTGACCATTCAGAATAGGGGTGCATACAGTTTGGTTCCTTACGGTTTCGACCAGAGCCGTTCACAACGGTTCCTTAAAATTAGAATTGGAACCGTATAGGTATGGAACCAAATGTAAATCGGAGATGGTGCGTAGGTGTAGAATGTAGATCGGAGAAGCCGTGTGACCGTATCGCACTTTTTTGTCGCTGATTAATGAGAAGATGAGAGGATGAGATGGTGTGTGGGTATTTTATTTTGCAAGTGATAAAAGCATAATATAATTTTATTTATTGATAAAACTAATAATAGTGAATTAGAAAAAAAAAAAAAAAAAACTAAATATTAGTGATACTTACATCTGAACATTTCTAATGAATTGTCTGTCTAAATAATTTTTAATTTTTAATCGATTATTTATTATTATTATTTATTTTCAAAAAAATACCAAAAATACCTTCTTAAGTGATAAAAATGAAAATTATTTTCAGTAAAAATAGTTTTATATTACTACCTCCGTCCCTTTTTAATTGTCCATCTTTGGTTTTATAACTTTTTAAGGGGACATGTAATTAATACATTGTTCTCTTTTAAAATTACCAAATTATCCTTTTTAATTTAAATATATATAGTTATAATTAAGTTTGAAATTTT